TGAATTGTACTTTGTATAATTCATAAAAAGTTTAATTTAAAAAAAATTCAATATCAATCATGTTTTCTTTTTATTAAAAGACCTTGTTTTTGTAATAGCATGTAGTAGTGCCCTGAAATCGGAATATCTTTCCTGCTCAGGGTTAATGTTTTGAGTATCTCTAACTGCGAAAAATGTGTTCAGTATTGCAAAATGAATGAACAGATGTTAATTTAACGGGGTTTTCCTTTTTATACCTGAATATGACCATCTTGTTATGTATCCATAGCGTCACATTTTTAATGACAAGAATGTAAAACAATTGAATCCTAGACAAATGTCCCATTATTTCATAATTTCAAACAGTATGTAATTAAAATAAATGTGCTTTCAGAATTCTTAGAAGTTAATTTCAATGTTTTTCCTCTCTGATATCTTCCTGAATTTAGTTTTCTAAATATTTAACTTAAACTAAAGTTGAGGTGGATAAAGTGGAGGCTGCTGAGTGGTCCTGTGTTGTTTTGCCCTCAGCACCAAGTCATAATAGAGTACCCAGACACACAGATGTTTTTCAGGCTTGGTTTAACAAGTAGTCTACGCACTTAGGACAGTTACATCATTTAGTGCCGGGCCCCAGGTGCCACTGGATGCCAAGCAACCACAGACGGTGGGAAAAGATGTGGAAATGGGTTCTGCCTGGGAGTTTCACTAATCTGCCTAATCTAGTTACATCAGAGATTCTGTTCTACCTCATTACATTTGGGCTGATTAATATCTGAAGCTGCCTGAAGAAACTAAGTGACCCATGAGAGATTATATAATTCTGCAGGATACAGGCTGCATACATCTACGCTACATACACGGATGCTGCAGGAGAGAAACCATTAATGATTTAGCGGGTGCTGCAAAAAGGCAGAGAATCGTAGAAAAGCATATGTCAGATGTGTTGTTAAGTTGCTGTCATGGTGCAAAAGATCAGCCCTGTTTAAATTGTGCATTTATTGACTTTTAAAAGTTTGGAATTGTCTTACCACAAAGCTTGATTGGGAACTGTCAGATGGCTGAGGGGAGTAATCTACATTTTTAATGGTCTTTCATGTTTTTAGGTTGTAGAGAGTCCTCTTAACAAAAAGATGTTATTTTTTGAAAAAAAAAAAAAAAAAGTCATGTTTTGTACATCAAGAACAAAATGCTATAAATAAAAGGGCAGAAACACCTCGTAGCAACAGTTTTTTTGGGGGGGGCTTTTTGCCTTTAATGGACAGGACAGATTGAAATGGGGTGAGAGAGAGAGAGTGGGGGTTGACATGCAGCAAAGGGTTGCAAGCCGGAGTCAAACCTGCGACCGCTGCAGCAAGGCATCGCCTCTGTACATGGGGCGCCGGCACTATCCACTATGCTACGGACGCCCTGTAGCAACAGTTAAATAAGAATATAAAAATCCCCAGTCAGTAATTAACGGTAGTGGAAGGCTAAGGTTGAAATATTGAAGATCAAGTGTCAAGTGCACAATAATGCCTATTAACAGGCAACATGTTGCTTTAGCAAATCTATTCTTCAAACCTCAAAATATGAATAAAAGGTAAGTTTATAATTATTATGTTGGCTCAGGGAATATCATTTGAGCATACTAGGGACTGACAAATCACAGTTTAAACCTGTTCAATCTAACCACTGATTAGACTGCAGAGGGCCCGAAGTATTTAGAGCCCAACAGCACTGTTACAGTTCAATAATGATCGAGGGTCACTTAAGGCTTTCTGGATTAAAAACAAAATCAAAATTCAAATTTATTTGGAGGAAAATGATAATAGTATTCCTCTCTCATGCAACATGTGGTGACATTTACGAAGTTTGAATCATTTCATTTTTCTTTTTTAAGGGGCAAAACCTATCTGGGGACCTAAATTCGTCCAGTCCACCAGATTGACTGAAAATGGAGTGTAATAAGTTATCATTTCAGTCTGCTATCAGGCAAGGGCAACACTGTTCTGAATGTTAATGATACATTTGATGTCTAAATTGTGCTAGGGTTTTTTTTCTTTAATTTTACCTCTGAAGAAAATTGAAGAAAAGTAGAAAAACCTCAATATAACCAACCCTGCACGTCAGTGTATATATACATTTTGGGTTACTGCTTTTATGTTGCAGCATAATCTAAATATTGAGAAACCCTCACTAATCTCTGATGTAATTTAATCACTTTTTCTCAACTGAACCCTAATGCATAGTCTGATAAAATACTATCTATGCTATGCTGGAGAGATGGGAAAAGTAAGCACTGATTTTCAAGAAAACCTGATAAAAAGAAAACTATTTTGTCTTTGAGAGCTATTTCAAGGTGAGGTGGCCTTGTTTCCTAGAGTAAAAAAATATTGCTTTGCTCATTGCTCCTGCTGTGTATTTGTTGTGGAAAAAAGTGAATAAAAGTAATGCAATATAACATTTCAAACTATTTAATAATAAAACTCTGACTTCAAAATTGCTGAAAATCTGTTTTATCCGAAAGAATCACTCAAATCGTGTCATCAGTGCTTCACATATACACTCAGGCCACACAGGTCATAGTTTACTATTTCATCACATAATGTTAGACCACATAAAAACTTATTATACAACATATATTGCATTTTGAGTGCTTATGTGCAATAACTGTGAAAAACAGTCTGACAGGTGGCGTATCCGCCCATTTGACGTTTTCATGCTAAATCAAAAGTAATGAGAACAATGTCACAAAACTTCCCAGTTCCTCAATAATCTAAGCCAACTTCCTGTCCTCATCTCCAATCAGCAAATGAACACAGTAGGGAATGACAGCAACCACACCGAGAGGAACTAAAGCGCTCTTACAAAATGACAAAATGTAAAACAGAACCTCAGTATGAGTGGGTATTTTGATAAAATCATACAGCTTCAGAGTTGTGAGAGTTGCTGTCACACACATGAGTTTGAATCTGATTTTGTAGCCGTTCTTCCCCTTACAGCTCTGAAAAAACATCTGAGAGTTCACCGCCAGGCCCAGACCAAATAGGGCTCCCAGGTTTCTCACCAGACCAGCAAACGGTGTGGTGTCGAGATGGATCCAATCTTGGTTAGCACACCACTTCTTTGCTTTATCAACTGACCACAAGGGATCAATGTCCGTCAATTTGAGGAGCAGATAAAAGCAAATAGCTGAAGTGAAAAGACAAAAATTGGTCCGGAGGTACACTTTCATGCTTGCATTGTAGACTGAGGGGATGTGATCAAATGCCTTGGCAACCAACATACCTACACATAGTAGAAAAAACAGAATGACTAATGTTAACACTATGGCATAAAACACATAATTAATTCAGGGAATTTGTGACAGGAAGTAGAAACTCACCAGCAACAACGCCGAGGATAACCTGATGTGGGAAATGTGTTGCGACAAAAACCCTGGAGATGCAAACGCTTATCTGAATGACCCAAAAAGCCATCCACAGACACGACCTCAGAAGACGAAACCTGCAAGGATGGAATAATTACACACGACCAGTAATAATGAAATCACTGATGTAATGGTGTGATACAAAATAACTACCCACCTTTGGAAACTCTGTTCTGAAGCGACAGTGGAGGAAGGCCTGATGAAGTTGAGAGCAGAGGTGATCATCACATACCAAACACATGCTGAACCCATGGCATGACCAGATGGACTTCCTGTGAAAGAAAACATCAAAGAACAAGCTTGCCAGTGCTGTAATGTTGTACTTTTAATGGATTCATTAAAATTTACTGCATACATGCTAACCTGGCCCTGTTTCACACGTGATGTGAAATTGCTCCAAATGTGGGAAAGAATCGTTGTGGTAGATGTGAGTTTCTCGCACCCACCAGTACGGTCGCTGCCCAAACATAATCCTGAAAAACAAGTATTTGATTAGAATTTAAAAATGCACACAATCTTCTGAATATAAATTACTGAGTTGAGTTGGCTTACCATTTGAAAACAAGATTTAACCAGTCCCCGACAACAGCCACCCATATCATCTTGGTGCCCACATCATGACTGAGATGGAACCAGAGGGGGAAATACACTGAGAAAATATTGCGAGGGTCTCCCACAGTTGACATGAAGTTGAGGAAATCGTGGTATTCCCTATAGTTGTTCTGGAGGTGCTGTATAACCAGCACCCCACTGCTGTAGACAAAGTCCATCTGAGGCTCCCTGTCTGTGTGTCTGTGTGTAACAGCTGCTTTTTCAGCACCAGTCAAAGCACCATGAAACCCTTCCACTTTGACGATAGCTTTATATCTCAACGTGGCATCATAAATCATTCAACAGAGCCATGGCAACAACATCAAGCTCTTCAGTTTGACCCCACAAGGAATAAAATAATGTGTTCCTACGTCGTGAGAGCTCAGCATTTTGAGAGGTGTTACAAAAACTGTTTACACCACTGACTGTGTTTCACAGACCATTGCTTTTAAGGCTGTTACATATTAGCCATTGTACACACTAAAAGGGACAGTGCCCCTCGTAACCCCCTGGATCCTTTCAGCCTCATTAATATTCCCTTTCTCGGTGAACGTGGCAACAAAATGTGCTTCCCATAATACTGGATCTGAAAAACACAGTCCATCTGGCATCCAGTTAGGCATATACTCAGTGAATTTATCATCACTGTGTTTTCTTCCCATTTTAAATCCACAGTCACTGTTGTAAGAGCACTTGCACATAAAAAAATGGCAATGATAATATTTTGACATACAGCAGCCTATTTTGAACTTGATGTTTGGGAGTCTGGGCCCACTTGAACTTCCTCAGTTTCACCACAAGGTGGTATAAAATCACAATTAAAAACATAAAAATGCATTGTGGGAAATTCTAAGCGCTCTTCACTATATTAAAAGCTTAACACGAAATAACATAATCATACAGTAGCCACGTTTTCTGTTCGGGTGCATTAACACAAAACACTTAATTGTAAAAACTGTTATTCATCTGATTTGTAGGCGGAAGTAAAACAAGAGAAAACGTCATTTCCGGTGTTCAGTCCCCGCCTCCTGTATACAGACCGCGGATTTTTGAAAATAACGACAGTTTCAGTAACAAGACGTAGCGTCATATTAAAAAGATTGACGGCCACACATCATGTGAGTAATTTTATTGCGTCCACATTTAAATTAAGTAGCTAATTCAATGTAATTCCGTACACAAATCACCCTAGTTTAATTTCATATCTAAGTGACGTGAGCTCTGGACAAGCTAAGGCTAACTAACGGCTAATGTTTTCCAGCTAACGTTAGCAGCTAATGTAGCCACTTGGGCTGACAACATAGTGTTCACCACTCACAGTCGGGTTGGGTGTTAACTGTCAAGTTAGTCAGTAATGTTCAACAGGGAGATAATAACGTTAACCCCGTTTGTGAGCTCGGTAACGGAGTCCGTTAACGGTAACGTCACACGTCAACTTGGACGGACGTCAGTTGCTCGCACTGTTCTATTATTAGCTTTAACGTAACTGACGATTAACAACAGTCATTGTCATAGAGATGTTTTCTGTAATTAACACTGGTAACACTTGCCAAGGAAACTATAAAATGTCATTTTTATATTGTCTGGAAATCAACTGTCGCTTTATTTAAACAAAACAAGGCATAGATCACATTCTCCATGTACAAGTCACATCAGTTAAGAGAGATAACTTAAATTATATAAAAAAAGTTGAGTAAAAAGGGTCAAATGAAACGAAATAAAATAGTATAAGTAATAGTAATGGCTAATCTCACAGCATTGGATGGAGAAAGATATTTGGTTAGTAACCCATCTTATTAATGGTCAGGGTGACTGAATATTATATGAAAACTTCTGTCCAAAATATGACATGGCTTGCACACATGCTCAGTTTTAGTAATTAACGCAATCCCTGTTTCAGACAGAATATTATACCTTAACATATGTGAACAGTCTTGCATGATTTTCTGGCTGAGAAAACTTTTAAAAATGTGTACACCATCACCCAGCTAAAATACTGTATCCAATACAATCAAACAGAATCTCCATCTTCAACTATATTCTGAGGCAGACATTAAAAAATAGAGATCCAACTATAGTACTTATCTGGTAAGATGAAAGACACATGACGTTTACTTCAATATTCTGAATTAAAATTGTCCATCCTATAAAAGGAATACTGAGATTTAATATTGATCACAATCATTGTGACTTTTGTGATACTGAAACTGAAACTACTGATCATCTGTATTTCCTTTGTATATACTGTGGCATCCTGGGAGCATTTGCAGGACTGCTTTTTAACCAAAATCCAACTACTGGCACCTCTAACAAGAGAAAATATTGTGTCAGCTATTAATATGAAGGACAGTGAGAATGACATTAAACATCTTGATACTCCTGGCAAAATGTTTCATTTACACATCCAAATGGAAGCAAACAAAACCTCTTTTCTTAGTTTTTAGAAGGGGCCCTTTGGACTATTACCTCAGTGCTTTCAGACTAATGAAAGTCTTTCATGAGTGCTGATGCTGAACCAAAAATATTTGAGGACCTCTTGAGTAACTACTGCAAAGTACGAACTACTGCTTAGCATATTGAAGTTGAAGCTGCTTATGTTCTTTGAAAGTCTGCCAAAACAATCTCAACTCAAGGTTAATTCATTTTAAATAATTTGTATCCCACTTTACTTCATTTATATCCCGAGCTGTCAACCGTGTAGGCCTGCCTTGCAGGTGTGACGTTACTGTGCAGCAGTAGGAGGACATATTGATTTGTGCCATGGGCTACCTTTTATTTTTACTGCTGAAATTACCATAGGTGGCTGGTGCCCTCCTCTTAATATAATAGTATTATTTACAGTAGGTGAGCGGCATATCATCAGTTTCAGGGCATTGCACTTTGGCTGATCTCTGTTTTCTTTAACCTCAACTTACCCTGAAGGAAATTTAGTTTGCAGCAAGAATACACCAATGGCATTAACAGCTACAATCTATAGTCAAAAACATGCAACTAATATAAAATATGTTTTTTAAAAAGTGTATTACAAGATGAGGATGTTTGTGCACATGATGAGCATTGTGCTGTCTGTTGCTTTTATTGCAGATTGTGAACATCATGTCTTCCATTACCGATCCAAACATGAGTATCAGGTTCACCAGTGCGATGGAGGAGATCCACAACAAACAGCTTAAAACATATGGGGAGATAATTGACGTGACTACAGAGCTGTGCCAGTCCCACAGACAGTTTGTGAAGTCGGCACTTGGTATGTTTGAGATATTGTATATTAGGTTTCCCCTTTGTTGTTGCCTCGGCAATAACTACTGCTTCTTGGGTCCATATTAAAATAAAATCAGGCTGTCTTTAACAAGTTTTTTCCTTTTTGTGCAGATACATGTTTAAAGAAATGTAAGGACGATGAGATTCTGTTTGACACAATACAGACGTTCAGAAGAGGTGAGTTTATGCATTAGGCCACAAAAGCAGTGTGTCCGTTCCATTCGTGTTAGTCATATGCTCAGTTGTGTGTGTTAAGTATGTTTACAAGATTGTTGAAGTTACTGATACTGGCCCTATGCCCTCTGTATTTTTGTTCTGTTTTCATGGCTGAATTATTCCTCATTTTCTGATACAGACTATGGGCCCATACTTGTTTGAGACAATATGTAATGCCACTTCCGAGGCATCATTGTTTATGTGAAAGTGTACTTGGAGTGATGCAATGTTTTTCCCCCAGACTTGGAACAGAAAAATGCATCTTTGAAAGGCAAACAGCATGCCATTTCTGAAATGATATCTGAGATTCAGCACAAGGAGATGCAGAAAGACGACATCATCCAGAAGATAGAGAAACTTAAAGAAGAACAAGTCAAGAGAAAAGAGTGTAAGTTTCAACTTGAAAATGAAGTGAAATGTATGGTGTGGATCACAGAATGTAATTTGTGACTGTAGCATGCAGTCATTTTAGTAACTGACCCCTGCACTTTTTTCTTTTCAGTGATCGAGTCTCAAAATAAAGCAAACAAACTCAGACTGAGGAATCTTCAGAAAGCCAGAGTTGTCTTTCAGGATCATTTGGGGATGGAGATACGAACAATCTCTGGCAAAACACAAGTGGTTAAAGGTATACCAAACACAATTGGCATTTCCATATCAAGTCCTGTTTATATCATCATCATTGCTTTTATACATTAATAGCAAATACTTCATATAAAGTGATTGTAGCTTGTCGCAGGCAATGCCCCGACTCTCTCTACAGTTAAAGTTACTATGGCTTTAGAATTTACACAATGTGTTTATTGTCTTCGTAAAGGTGGAAAGCTGCAGTTTGTTTTCCGGAATATCAGCCCTTCAGATCTGGACAGCGCCTACGTTGTCACAATGGGGATTACAGAAGACAGATCATACCAGAGTAAGTTACACACACACACACACACACACACACACACACACACACACACTGTACATCAGAAAACCTACTGTTGTATAAAAATGTTGTGCAGTTTAATGGAATTCTGACTTTGCCTTTATGTAAAAAAACAAGGCTGACAATATTCTATATTTATAAGAAAGAAAGAAAACCAACAATGATCTGATTCTCCTCAAAAGTATTGTCTTTGTAGCCAAATCCTCATATAGGTTATTCCTCTGTGCCATAGTGTCCAGAAACTATTAAAAAACATATAAATGTGCCGTATTGTTGCCCTGGCTGACATGTTCCGTGTTTTCCACAAACATGACTGCTGTAGTTTATTTTGAATGAATCCTACATACACCACCCCTGCCACCAGAAATAGTCCCCTGACAAATGCTGTGTTTACTCCTGTTTGTATAATATTTGTCTAAAACTACATTTCTCAGCTGTTACAGGAAATTACTTAAAAATAAAACTATATTTTTATAAGCATGTCCTAAACATCTGGTGTTTCACTAGGAAGTATGGACATGGGCGTCAGTGCCACAGACAGAGAGAGAGATTTAAAAAGTATCGAGAGACAGGATAATGCACTGGTGGTTTTGGTCTTTTGTGGGATTTGTAGACAATAATAAAAAATATGAAATATCACCTGTCTTATCTTGCAATAGCCAGTGTAAACGTCTTCTATAATGAAGTTTCCAATTTCTACAGTTGTGTCAAGTGATCCTGTGCTCGAGTGTTTGCCAGCCTTGGAGAGACAGCTTCAAGAGACCAATAACTTAGCTGCATTCCTGGCAAATATCAGGAAGGAGTTTATCTCTCAGGCACGCGGCTAAGATTGGAGGAATGGGAGAATAAAATGCCATGCAGTGAAGTTGTTGCTGCAATGTGGATACTGTAAATATGAAGCTAAATGATACTCTTATCCATGTATTAAATAAAGGATTTTTCACTTAGAATCAGATTGCCTCAGATCCTTTTAACTCTGCCAACAAATACAAGTGAGCTTGACCATTATAACCATATATATTATATTTCAATTCTTACTCGACTGTTTGTCCTATCCTTAAAAAGCACTGATTTTTTACGTCAAACATCACCAACATCATGTCTTTTGACCCAGTAAAGCACTCCTCATTTATTCATTACTGATAGATATGGATTTAATATGCATTTTTGTATAAAATAAGTTAAAAGCTCGATAAAAATCTGGACTTGTTAATACATAAATACTTTTACTAATTTTATGCACAAGTGTCTGAGCATGGTCGTGTTGCAGTTTTGAGGAAACTGTTTATCTGGCATAATTTCAAACCCCGGAGTTTGGCCTTGAGAGAACAGGTGTTCACGAGTAAATGTCTCTAAATCCTGAAAAATTCACCAGTTTACTGTAGATGCTCTTCAGAAGTAAAGATGAATAAAATAATTGGTCATGATTCATGTAAATGGTGAACAGTTTAATTTTCTCATGTCATTACCCAGATTAAAGTAGGTGGAGATAAGCATAGTTTCATTTCCCTGGGCTTCATTTTCACTTACGTTCATTATAATCTATTAAAATACAACTTCATTTGTTTTTCTGTACACAGTGTAGCATAAATAAAAACAATGGGTATAAAAAATCACAGTGTCAAAAAAACTTCAGGGAAAGCAGTGACAAAAATCAGATCTAGGAGAACATGTATTATTAAACTGCATACTTTTGTTTTTATTAACCATTTTAAAGCTATGCATATCATCAGTCAGTACACTACAGTAGTTGTAGGTGGTACAAGGCTCCTAGTTGTTGCCACTGATTTTTTGGCAGAAGTGAATCTCTTTGATTCAGGATGAGTTTTGTTCATTTGGTGGTGAGTTAAGTCGCTCAGGCATCAGATGATTTGACGCTGCCTAACACAGGCAGCTCCTCAACGTAGGCTGATGGGAAATGGCCTGTCTTCCCATTAAGTTTGCCAAACCACCAACCATTATCCTCCTTTCCATAAATGTCTAGCAGATCTCCTGTGAAACAAAAAATCCAGTCATTTTTATTAGATTAGTTATAAACCTCATCTGTTTTGGATAATCTACACTTGAGTAGCCACTTACCTTCTGTCAATGCCAATTCATCGTCCTGTTCAGGTGTGAAACTGTACAAGGCCTTGCATTTTCCTATACTGCCCAGCTGTGATGTTGTTTGACCTGTTCAATATTAATGTTTTTCATTCTTTAATTACAGATGTGCTGAACAGAAATAAATATTTGTGTTACTCTGCAAATGTATTACCTTGTTCTTTGTCATCATCAGTGTGAGACAGGGCTCCGTTAACGATGCTGACACACTCTGCAGCTGCAGTTTCATGTGTTACAGCTGTGGAAGTGACTTGGTCGGTGGGACTTGGTAAAGCCTCCACAGACTGCTGCGTCCCAAACTGAGAGGGCCCTTTGTAAATGATTGAAGCTCTCAGTGATCGTCGGGATCTATATGGAGCCCTCCTGAGTTTGACTGGACGAGTCAGTTGAACAATGCTGTGCTCACAGTCCTTAAACAGACAAATAGTTTGGGTTACATAATATACTTGTAAATCCTAAATGCACGTTAAGGGTGTTTTCACGTAAAGCCTGTTCGAAACAAACCAAACTCGGTCCTCTTAAAGTGCACCAAAAAGTGGACTAACAGAAAAGGGACTGTTTTTTTTTTTTGCGTGTGTTCATATCCAGAAATAAGTTGTATCTTCCGTGGACCAAACTACCTCTCGTCCTACGTCCTTGCAAGCATTACAGGCTGACATGGCTTCGTCTGTTTTTTCAAGCATCCCAGTGCAACAGATATGTGCAAAAAATGCTGAGTCACTGCTCTGAGTTCGTTTTGAGGGCTGAAAAGGACCAAGTGTTAAAACACCCTTAACCAACACGATGAAAAGGAAAAAAAGGGACCAAGCCTAAACAGTGACAACATAACTGTCTTGCATAATGAATGACAACAATATTCATGTTGTGTAATTAATAGCATTAGATGACCTTCAGTTTAAAATTAAAAACACATTTGAAACATGAAAGGTGGTGTCATTGCAGGGGTACTTGAACTCATCCGACTAAAAAGGTTGGGAATCACATCTGAGACCATTAAAATCACCTACAAGCAACTTCCTTAATTCAGCATAACACATTTACCTGAAAAATATGTAAAGACTGTTTCACTCTGACTAGAAACCTTTTCACCCTATACATTTTATCCAAGGATAATAAGAAATACGCCCCAAATGATCGTTCATATATATATATATCCACTTCGTTTTTCTCGCATGCCTTCACTGTGAACGAAGAATCCAAAAACAGAGAAAGTTTTGGATGAAATGAAGTCTTAGGGGTTTGCCTTTGCCAACAGCAAAACTATATCAAAACATCTGTTTCCCAACTGTGACACAGCTTATACATTATAATCCAAGTCCCATTTATCCAGCCATGCATTTTAGCTAAAACTTTACTATTTAAAACACTGAACAGTCTCATGCATAGACTAATGGTGCGTCTGGGCAAGCACGTGCATTTGAACTCTGCTGGTGCTGTCCCTTGAAATCATGATTCCCAGCTCGTTCATTGGCCAGGAGTTCTGCTGTCACCCACGCCTGTTGTTTTCTGGCCAATGAATGAACTGTGAGGTGGGATTTCAATGGAAACCACAAGCAGAATTCAAACGCACGCCTTTGCTCATGCACGCTACTTGTTCGTTCATGAGACTTGTGTTTTCAATACTAAGGTTTTAGTAAAAATGCGTATGTTTGGAAAGTTCTGAGCCTGCACCTAGGTATATGAAACTTGGATTATTGTTGTGGGAAAATTTGTAAATTAATGGTTTGCTGTAGTGTGGCACGATGGTGCAGTGGTTAGTACAGGCACCTCACAACTGAATGGTTTTTAATCTGCTGCCCAGCCATGGCTCTGGGGCATGGAATTGGCATGTTCTCTCTGTGTCAGCGTGGCATGAATGGTTGTCTGCCTCTATGTGTCAGCCCTGTGATAGTCTGGCAACCTGTTCAGAGTGGGATCAGCTGGGACAGGCTCCTCTCGACCTCGTACCAGAATTAGCAGTTATGGCTAATGAATGTTTTGTTTTTTTGGATTCTTTGTTCATTGTTCAGGCATGTGAGAAAAACATACTTTTCTTCCCGAATTCAATATGACACAAGGTTATTAATTGTGTACCAATCGTCACTGAGATGCACCTGTGAAATATGTTAAGGAAGAGTTTAATTCTGTTTTCCCTGTTTCCCATTCAAACCAATGACATTACAATTGGGAACTTTCCTTTAACGAACAGGCTTCCATTACCCCAGAACATACCTCATGTCCTCAAGATGATGCATTAAGTCTTACCTTATCTTTCCATTTTACAATGCTGTCACAAAATCGGTGAAAGGACTTGGGTCCCCCCTCTATTTCAGACAGTGATGCAGAGAGTTTGTAGTGAGTGGCCTCGAGAAGATCCAGTTTTAGAGTACACTACAAGTAAAAAGGCGGCCGCATTAATGAAATCTGATTCATGATGAGTTTAACTCAACACCCATCTGTACACATCAATATTCATCCACTCTACACAGGCTGTAAATGTTTACCTCATCGATCTGCTGCTCAGTTTCCTCGAGGTTCTTTTGGTTTGAGAAAGATGGATTTTCAGAATATGTTCTCATCAGTTTTTCAATTCCTGAAACAAAATGTCGAAGGTGACTTAGAAACAAGAACGAATGACCTCACATGGGACTCTGCATTATGATTCAGAGTTGGACTGAAAGACCATTTTTCCGCCTCCATCATATTATATTTTGTGATTTTAATGCATTATTTAATGGATAATGTGCTGAACTTGCCTTCTCGATCATTCTTTGTTTTTGTAATGCTTTCCTCCAGGCGCTGGAGTTTGAGTTTAATGGCCTCTTTTCTTCGGTCTTTGGCCATTAATGATTTGCTGTCCTCCTCCTGGTGTGTCCAGATCACAGATCACACATCAGTTACTATGATGGTCTTGGTTAAAATCTAATATTGATGCTGTTTTGTGCCGAGGCTACGAGGTTTTTTTGTGCTGTATTTGCCAGACATTTTTACAAACCATGCTATCGTCACTACTGCACGGTACTCTGCACAAACAGTATATTACCTTTAATTGAATCAGGTAAATCCAATTGAGATTACTGTCCTATTTTCAAGAGACCTGACTACAACCTAACAGCTGCATAATTTAAAATTAACAAAACAGTAAATAACCATTAGAGCACACTTAAAAACAACCTTCATGTGAGCCCTGTCACAAAATTATAAGTGCATCTTCATTTCTGTGGCTTCGACGCCCCCATCAAAAGAAACCCCCTGCAGAAATGACTGGGCGTGTCTTTGAATGGGTGAGTCACTGAATGAGTCTGTGGCCTGCAGACAAGCCTTCTCAGAGCAAAAAAAAAAGCAGACTTACAAAATAATCAGCCATCAGAAACTCAGTTTTGTGATCATCAGCGGTGATGCTGTTTTCCTCCACCAGAGTTTGTATGTCTTTATCCATGTCTGCCCTTTGGACAGTCTGTTCTATCTGTCTTTGGCCCTGGAAGAGGCAGATATTCGTTATAATACCCATCAAGGAATTTAGTGCAAATGTATGAGCAGGATGGAGGTAAAGATGTCTTACATGTTTGAGAGTCTGTCCAAAGCTGGACATGTGGAGGTTGTATCGATTCAGAGTATTGCACAGAACTTCAATTCGCTGTTTCTCCAGCTCCTGTATGATCTGAAAAAGCAGAACATATTGCACTTTAATGTGTTGTATGCAGCACATTCAATCATCCTTTACTCTGTGCGGCATGTAATACCCTAACATATCACCTCCTGCTAGTGGATTGTCATCTAAACCTGGGGTAGATTTAAGTACAAGCACGGATAACAAGGTCATAGTGACTGGAAAGATTGCACAGTAACCAAAAGCTACCATTCATGGCTG